AAAATGTTGTATCATTGGAAATCGCTTAGAAGAGTGCTTCTCAAAGTGCTCGCGACCCGATATTTAATCATAATTTTCTCTCTCTCTCTCATCGCGTCCCCCTCATACAATATAACAATGTATGGAGTTCAATAATACTATACTTTGATGCTAAAACTACGATTCAATTTTAACCTTATAAGTGCGACCAGCTTATATAAACGTTTTGCTCAGTCAAAACGTTAATTTTCCCGAATGTATACATACGTCTTTCCGAAGTAAGATCTTTTTTGTGCACTGCTAACCATAAAATTATTACGAAGGCTTTGGAATGCAATAAAAGGACCTTCACAATTTTTGAGAAGGATATACTTATTTCAGATTATTTGCTTCTTTATCTCATCTCCGCAATACATCACATACGCACGACTACGAGGTAAGCGATTGGCACTGAGAAGCTAACCGCGTAAATTTTAATCCTCAGTGAAGGGATGAATTATAAACCATACAAATTATCAAGATAAGTGCTAATTTTATATATGACAAGCCCATGGGGGGTCACTGGTAATTATTAAACTTGTTCTTAACTTAGTATTGTTAAATTAATCATCAAATCCATTGTGTAGCACTGATACATTTATAAGTGTAATATATTAAGAGTAAATGCGCATTCTATTTTTTATTATTTCAGAATGTATTTCGTTTGTTTACTTTCAGTAAATTAATATTTTTTTTTAAAAAAAATAATCTTCTGTTTTCGACTTTTCAATATACTCGCGCCCCCCTCGTAGAGTTGTCCCGCCTTCTCAAGAGGGCGCGCCCCACAGTTTGAGAAACGCTGCGTTAGGAAAAAACTCAGAGAGATATGGAAGAACAGCAGCAGCATTATTTCCTGAATGTGGGAGTTATTTAAGGATATATGACGAGATGTTTGCTGAATGCGAGGAGAAGGGTATAAAGCTTCGTTGCAATAGTAAATTCTTGGAACTGAACATTGAAAATAACAACACATTGTAGTAACTGCAAGCGTTTATTGCCACAGTAAGAGAGTAAATATCCTGGTGGCTAGTGGCTTCTGCTTGAAGCACACCTAAGAGATTAAAGAGAAACTATTATGCTACGAAAATCATGATTTTAGTAATAAACCAGATTTGTAATACTGTGGTATCAATAAATTGATCACTTCTAGCAAGTTCCGATTTTGTAGGGCTTGTAACCCCTGGATCCCAATGTACTTTTTCAAATCCCAAAATTCCCGAATTTAATTTTTGTCTGAATTATATATTTTGAAATTTGTTTCTCGTTGACGTCATTCAAATGGTGGAACAATGGCTTTCGGCAAAGTCGTTTTTAACCTCCTCGGCTCCCTAGGCACTTCAACAGCTACACCCCCTCCTTCCTTCAGTTCTTACTTTTCCTGTTTTGTTTCGGGAGGGATTTTCCCCTAACTTTCTTACTCCCCCTTTCTTTGTTTTAGCTATTTGAATAGTCTTTCCATTATCCACCACCTATGGACCTGCTGTGTTATGGACTGACCGTCGTATGGAAAGAATAGTGGTATGGTTTGGCTAAATCTTGTTCATTTCTTACTGTACGACATCACGGACCACCCACCCTTTTATAAATTAGTACAGTAAATTAATTAAATCATTTGCAAAATACAGTATAGAGTATATATTATTGTTTGAACTGTTTTCAACTTGTTAATCAAGGCTATTTTCGCCGCATGAACAAGGACGTGAACTTAAAGCGGATCACATTTTCGGACAGAAAAAAATGCCTTAATTTTTTTAAACAAATTGTGACATTTTAACTCATGCATTTGTTTATAATATAGTGGTTTTAAAATTTCAAAATATTTCATAAATAATTAGTTTTTGCTTTTAACATGTAAAGGAATAGCTCGTTTACCATTATGGTATAGGAGAAAAAATGCGAAACACATTTTACAAAAGAAAAACATGTGTCAACTCGGATAAAAATGTGAGTGGTATGATAAAATAAGTCATTTCTACAGGATAGTGAATCCAGAATATAATATTAATGTCTGAGTTCTTTTATATCTGGAAAAATACACCGGATTTGGGTCATATTCTTTAATATTAGCCGAAAACAGCCTTAATATCTTTTTCATCGCTTATCTATTTATTATGTTTTACTTTTTGACATCCTTATTCTTGATTGAGTCACTGTCATTGTACATGTACAACTAAGATTTTTTCGAGAAAATCCTCAATAACTTCATTGTAATTGATTTCCTTTGCAATATCATTTTGAGTGCATGGCAACATCAAACTGTTCGGCTTTTCATTCTCTCTCTCTGTAGTAGATCTCACTTTAGTCTTTACTCTCTTGAGGGCTGAAAAGTTTCGCTCACGATTCGCTAAGTGGTGGTACGTTCGTTGTAATTTTTTTCTCACTTCAATTTTTTGCGCCCTCAAATCTTTTGCGCCCTAGGCACGTGTCTAGCGTACCTAAGCGGAAAAGAGACCCTGGCTTTTGGAGGAATTGGCTGAGTTCTTCGGTGATGTCCTTCTAAATAAGAAGAAACTCTGGGAGATGCAGATATGTCTTTAAAATAACGAATAGAAGCTAAGTTTCTCGTTGATTTTTTTTAATAACAATTTATAGTTCGAATATTATTAATAGCTGTTAAAATTTTATGATCTCTCTTCTTAGAACTGCGAAATGGCTTTAATATGTCGAAATTCACAGTTAGTTACTACCAATATCTTTGTTTATTTATATTCCAAGAAACTTAAAAATTTCAGTTTATAGAAATCATGAAAATAAGTCAATTTTTAAAATGTTTTGAAAAATTTAAGTTTCATTGGTGGATAATGAGCGCTTATAAAAAGTAAATTCTTCTTAAAAGGTATTATTTTTCAATCAGTTAGGAAATGCTTTAATTCAAAGAAGGCGGAGACGTTTCGATTTCGCCGTTCTTATATCAGCAAGGCATGCATTAATTCATCGTAGTTATTAGCTTAAAAAATTGCACAGCTGCATTGAAATTATTGAAAAGAGATATAATTTTTAATTGATAAAGATTTGTAAGAAAACTACTAGCAAGAGCTTCTTAATTTATGTTCGAGAAGCAGCCAATGAATAAATGAAATATTTTTAATCAACTTTCTGCAACTACATTGCATGAATTTGGAATCAACACAATCTTAATTATCACATTTTTTCAATTTGAAAACATGATCAAATTTTACATTTTCTTGTGATTTCTGATGCAATTTTATTTCTTTTTCAGTAAAGCTCTGAGTAGTAAGTTTTAGAATGGCTGAAGCTAGACCGGCGAATCGTCCATCTTTAGCGAGATTTGCTGCTGTAAGTATTTCTTTTTATGTATAGGTTAATTTTGCAAAAAATTCTTTTCTTCAAACAGTTTTTTTTGTTACATTCGCCAAAGTTACTGAACTTTAAAATGAGGAAAAGAAAGGAAAAAAAACTATAGATCTTAAATGTTTTACACGATTCTATTGTTGTTTCTGAAACTGAAATGTAAGCAAATATAGATAGGTGGATAGGCAAGATAAAAATAACAGAATTATTTAAATCTTGTTACTCTGATATTAATACCTTTCTATCATAATTAACTTTTTTTTGTAATATTATTTACATCTTGTAAGTTAACACATGCCAGTTCTCTCTTACATCAAGCATATCACTTTTGCGTTCAATATGTAATAAATACTTCTTAATTAAATTTCTACGCCTTATATGTGCACATAATTATAAGGATCACCCAATGACCAATTTATATTTAAAGGTAAAACTCATTGAAGTTGGTGTACTTTGTTGTACATCCCAAGTTTAAAATATCGAAATATTCTGAAATTATTTCCATACAGTTTGAAAAATTAACTGATGCAAGCAGTTATTTACATTTATGAAAAGAAAGAAGTTGACCTTGCCAAATTCACAGTGGTGTAACAGAGAGTATGTAAGGCTCTCCTTGCAAAGTCAGGTTTTGGACCCCAAAGTGGATCTTACGAAGAATTGCAAAGCCGTAGTATAACATAGGCTTTGAGCACCCTAGAATTCTGGTTCGATGCGAGGTTGTACGTTACGCCACTTCAAATCCAGAAGTAGAAATTCACTTAGAGTAAGTTTTGTAAATTATTACCAGAGGGAAAAAAGTTTTTTCCCTCTTTGATTTGGAAAGATCGTTACTACGTAGATGAGATTCAAAGTTTCAAAACTTCGTCTTTGTTGCTTTTTATATTGTTACTCAAGAAGTAACTCATTTTTAAGGGGGAAAAGTTTTTTTCTGATGCCCTAGAGATTTGTGTTATTTGGTTTATGTTAGCATATGCATTTGTCTTGCTTGTCATATAGAATCAAGATATGTTCACTCAGATTATAAAAATATAAAAATTATGCACAAAACATCCAACAAAGTTAGTGTATTTAAGATTTGCTAATGTATAACCATTACAAAAAATAAATAAAAATAATAAAACCGTGACAATCAGACAAAAAAAAAATATATTGAAGTCATACGCTTTTACTTCCTATCATGCTATTTTCAATACTGACTTCTCTTGAGTGTGAAAGAAAAAAAAACATTAAAATTTTATTGTTATTTTTTGTGTTTGATATAATAATTTTAAAAAAAAAATGGTATTTTCGTGGGTAAGAGAGATAAAATTTCCATATTTGTATGGAACTAGAGTTAGAAATAAAGGGAACAGTCCTAGACAATGTCGCGTATTTAAAATAAAAATAAGTAATGTAAAAAATTTATGTCAATTTCTAATTAGGTCAACAAAGGAAAATTTTATTTTAGTTACTTTTTATTAAATAGTTACAATTACTAAAAATATGAATATACATATGATAGGATCACAAAATTAAGTGACATAATGAAAAAAGAGTTTACTTGCAATTTTCCATTTTTCTCTCTATATATGGTATTGGACTATTTTTTGGATTATTATCTCATTAATTAAGTTTAGTTATTCTAATAAAATACTATAGTAAAATAGAAATGATATTCTCAGAAATTAGGCCATCCCAAGTGTGATTCTAGTCCACGATCTTTGGATTAGTAGTTCAACGGGCTATCCATTGCGCTACAGGGAAACTACAAACCATTTTCCTTTCTATGTATTCTGTTGGACTATAATTTTTGTTAATGTTTATTCATTTTTTAATTTAATTAATGAATTACTATTTGGAAAAGCTGTATTTAAAATCAAGTGTCATCCACTACCAGTTTAAAAAATGTATTTGAATTTAAATGGATCAATAGAAGGTATTTTGTATTAACGATTGAAAATTTGAACAAGATCTCTCTCTCTATATATAAGACGCATTTGTTATCTGTTTGTCTGTTCCCTCCTAACTCGAGATCCAGACACCCAAATAACGTGAAACTTGGTACACGTAAAAATTACACGAGAAAGGTTCTTAAATAGGTTTGGCGTTCATAATTCCTTCCAAATTTTTTAAAATTTAATTTTTAAGTGATTTTCCACTGTTATGACGTCATATGTAGTCACGTTTCTCACTAAGTGGACAATTTATACTTTACATGCAGTTTTTTAAGATTATTACATATTTTTACTGTAACTATGTTTATCGGTTGGAATATTTATTCAATTTTTCTATTCTTTGATATTTAATTAGGATTATTTTTGGAATAAATAATTTTTTTAAGGATTATTCTTTCAACAACTAAAATTTTGTTTTGTTGTTTTGGCAACATTTAGGTATTATCGCGGGATGTTTATGTGTGTGATTTTCCTTGCAAATTACAACTTATTTATTTATTTCTTTAGAATGCGAAGATTATAATTTTGACAAACTAAAACTTCTCATTGATAAGGGTTCGGTTCAATGTAAGATAAATTATTTTTGGAACTTATGTACTATCCTGACAATCGCCAACATTCAAAATAACTTGCCAAGTTGGCAACCCTGATTTTACATGTCATATATATATATATATATATATATATATATATATATATATATATATATATATATATATATATATATATATATATGTTGAATTTTGAATCGTGCTTCGTTTTATATATCGCCAATAGGTTGCGGTTATATGCAAGTACCTTATTTTTTTCAAATTATGCTTTTGCATTGTTAAAGTTAGTTCAGTTCTTTTTATGTCGGTTAATGTTAGCATTGTACTTCATTTTTCAATTTATTTTTATGCTCGCGATATATATACTTTGGATTATTTTTGTAGTACTTGTGTATTATTGCACAATCGCCAACGTTCAAGACAACTCGCCACTTAAGCAATCCCAACTTTGTGTGTGTTGAATTAGCAATCATGTGCTTCATTTCGTATAATGTCACCGATAGTTTGCGATAATACATAACTACCTCAAATTCTGTACATTACTATAACACTAGACTGGCCGCAACATACCAATTTGGCGTGATTTCAGAATCATGCCAAAAATGAGTATGTTGAGGAAGCAGGTAGTGGTAAGATAAATTATTTTTGGCACCTATATGTACTATCCTAACAATCGCCAACATTCAAAGTAACTTGCCAAGTTGGCAACCCTGATTTCGCATGTCATATATATGCTGAATTGTGAGTCATGTGCTTTGTTTCATATAATGTCGCCATAAGGTAGGGGTTATATGTAAATACCTTATTTTTTCAAATTATGCTTTTGCATTGATAAAGTAAGTTCAGTTCTTTTTATGTCAGTTAATGTTAGTATTGTACTTCATTTTTCAATTTATTTTTATGCTCGGGATATATATACTTTGGATAAATTTTTTTAGTACTTGCGTATTTTTGCACAGTCGCCAACGTTCAAGACAACTCGCCACTTTGGCAATCCCAACTTTGTATGCATTGAATTGGCAATCATGTGCTTCATTTTGTATAATGTCACCAATAGGTTGCAATAATACGTAAGTACCTTTAATTCTGTGCATTACTATAACATTAGACTGGCCGCAACATACCAATTTGGCGTGATTTCAAAATCACGCCAAAAATGAGTAGCCAACCAATATGAAATTAATATTATGAGTATTATCTTAGCCTGTTTTATCTTTCCTCCAGTAATCCTTAATTAATTCAATATATATATATATATATATATTTTATATTTTAGTAGTTACATTTTTTTTTTTTTTTTGGTTATTATGTACTGCAAATATTTTTTGCACATTGCTATGTCTTTGGCAAAATTAATCAGTGGTATTTTTCTTAAATATGTTTTTTTATCTGTTTTTGACAATTTTTAAAATTTTGTTTGATGTCTGTCTGAAATGCAAATAGCAAAATAAATATTTTACAATATATATATTGTGTTTGTATGAAAATGTTTATACTGATTTATTCAAAATATTGAGTCGTCTTTTATTTTTGATATCTTTTTAAGATTTAATTTTATGTTATAACTAGCTATACCCAGCTAAATGTTGCTATGGCTCATTTAGCTTTAAAATACTGGTACACCATAAAGTATGTCATGAAGCTTACAAAAGTAATAATACGCAAGAATTCAAACAAACCTATATGCATATAAGACGCATTTGTTGTCTGTCTGAATAAATTTTCTCTTTCACACTACATCATTTGGACAAATTTTCAAAATTTGTTTGTGTGGTTAGGAATTAATTATAATGCTATAATTTTAATTGAATAGGCAGATATTGCATTTCTAAGTATAAAAATAGTTATAACTACTGTACTGTATTTTTTTCAATGAGTGAATATTAACGTCGCACTGTTCAGCTACATGAGGGCTTTTGGCGACGGACCACATAATTTTGAACCATGGTCAAGTGACGTGGACGCCACCTGAGCTGGCACCCCCTTCTCCTAACTACCACGCCACATCAATTTAGCAGGAATATTCTACCAATACTTAGCTGGAATATTCTTTGAAATCCACTCTTCCAAGATATATGACAGCACGGGTTCTATGATGAGTATTTTAGCGGGGAAGGCAAATAGTTTTGTAGCAGATATTACATTTTCAGCTGCCAGCGTTTTCAGCGGATTACAGAGATTATCATTTTTGTCCCCCAAAAATAGTTCATGTCAAAATTTAAGTGTCTTATGTTTTTGTATGTTTATGGAGACCTTAGAAAACGATTTGACTATTTATTTTAAATGAATGGTGTATATAATTAATTTTACAGTGGAATATATTTAATTAATTTTTTAGCTCTAACCGATTAAATTTCCCTAAGTGGAGTATTTTGTTTATGTATGTCCCTTAATTTTCAATGTAGTGACCTAAAGAAATATTGCTTGAAAAAAAATTCAATAAATCATAATGCGGTAGATAAAGCATTAACGTGCATCGCGCCCCTACACGGCGGGTCTTACAAAGCTCTAATAAAGTTTGAGCTATGAAAGTAGCTAGACATTTGCCAACTTGACTCTATTGTCAACATTTTGCTATTTTTTCCATTGAATCGCCATTGTTATTTAGGAAACGGCGTTGCTTGCGAGTATTACAGATTTAACATAAAACAAATTCAACTGAAAGTTACATTAATGTATGACACTTTCAGTTAAAAATTATTTACAATATTTTAAGCGTCACAAAACTTTTAACAATGTGTTAGTTTTGCTGAGCAGAGATCAGCTTATGGAGGTATTTTGAAAAATCGACCCTCAAGAGTGTTACGAGGAATTCTAAATATAAAAAAAATCCTTTTTATCAGCTATTAGATCTACAGACTTAAAATTTAACAAATGTATTTTTTTCTTTCTTCTTTTTTCTTCAGCTGAGAATGTGAAAAGCTTTTTTTGTTTAATTTGCAATTCACGTAAAATTAACTCATTAAAAACTTCTTTATCCTTCAATCTGTGTTGTTTAACTTTTCAGTTCACCCGTGCGAAGAACGGGTATACCAGCTAGTATATATATATAAATAGAGAGAGAGAGTGAACTAATGGTAGGAGTTGAATAATGGATATTGTAATTGAAAATTCACAATTTTTTTTAAAAAATTTGCTGAATAATTGTGGTTATTTTTTTATTATTATTATTCAGGTATGTGAAAAACTCTGAACGCTGATATTTTTTTGTTCAAGTTTTCAAACAGTAAAATGTAAAAATTTTTTTTTATAAAATTTATAGCGCTACCCTGTTGTTTGGCGAGGTAATTTGGCTCTTAAGGATGCTCGAGCAACGGTTATGATGCATTTTCTATCGGGGAATGTTAGATTTGCCAGATCAGTACTTCCACAAGATGAGTTTGATCCAACTCCAATGAAAATTACTCATCAAAGAAGATTAATGCCAGAGGCATTAAAAGAAGTTATTCAGGCTATAAAGGTTTGTTGCACAAATATTTTTTTTCAAGTGTGTCAGGTTCTTAACGTATTTTATTTTATGTATTATTAAAGGAAGTTTCCAAGATATTTTACTGCTTGTGAATTAATTATTGAATGCCACATTTCTCATATTTTTGGTATGTATTCCGATAAAGTCTTTTGGGTTAAAGAGTATAATAGCCCTTGGCGAACAGGGGCGTAGCTACCGCCGTATCAATGATGCCGGGCCCTCAAGCTTTGGGGCCCCCAAAACGTGCAAGCCAAATATCGCAAAACATTTAGGAGCCACTAAAAAGGGCCCCGAAGAAACTTTGATACAGGGCCCACTAAGGACTAGCTACACCATTGTTGGTGAAGTCAATTTTTTGGCGTCCGGAATCGGTAAATTTTTTCCAAATAAAAAAATTTTCTTATTGATTTCTCAATAATATTTTTTTTTCATTGCAAAATTCCACTTTTTAAATTTTCGGAACACATACCGCTAAATTATTTTCTGGCGACTGGAGTCGGTCGCCAAAAAATTGAATATGTCATTTTTTTTTCTTCTAATTGTTATATATTTTTTGCGAACATATACGATAAACATTTCCTTTAAATTTTAAATTCAAATATTTGAAAAGGCAATGTTCTTAAAAAAAGTATTTTTACGTAACTAAAATCTGTTTGTATTACTTTGATTGGATTCTATTTGAACCTTCTGATTTGGCGCCAAATATTTCATGCTAACTTTATGTGGAATCTTTTCACCAAGTAGACCATCAGCCAACTCAGACTGGCTTCTTTTATCGTTTTCAGGACA